TAGTATGCTAGCAGTGGCGCTCTCTGACTGACGTACCAGTTATTGTTGTTTCCATGGTAACGGGTGACACGCTTGATTTTTAAATGTATAGATTTGTTAGATTAGAACGTAATCTATGAACTATTTTAGATTAAAAAAAAATAATATTTGTTGAACTATGAAGCTTTTTGTAAAAAAAAAAAAAAAAGAAAAAAAAATGATATCATGATTTTTTAGATTAATGAATCTGAAAACTTTTCACGGACCCCCTGGCAGAGTGCCACGGACCCCCGGGGGGTCGCGGACCCCACTTTGAGAACCACTGTTCTAGAGGGCTCATACTGTCGGTTAAGAGCAAATCTGATAAATAGCTAGGCCCAAGACCATTAAGTGCTTTCAAAACCGATACAAGTATTTTTAAATTGATTTGAATTGATAAGGGATCGGTTGTTGGTACCTGGAGCTGCAGGGGCTGGCAGGAGTCTCTGCGGGTCCTCAGGAGGTCCAGCAGCCTCTCCAGCCCTGCGCTGACCTCTCCCAGACTCAGAGCCCCCACCTCGGCCTCCAGCTCCCCCTCCAGCAGCAAAGTCAGGTGACCTGGCTTCAGCAGGTCCTCAACAGGCTGTTCATCCCCTTTCTCTTCCTCCTCAGCACCCTCTGAAACATCACATGTACACAACATTATATCATTTGTATTAATGCTGTCAAGAAAATCAGGATATTCTAATATATCGGCAGAGGCTTTTATACGACGGGTCCTTTTTCTGTCTCATGCACAAGACTTTGAAAGTCGCCAATACTATTATTACTACTGCCATTATCAAGCCTTGCTCAGGACTTTGTTTCTCCCCTTTTAAAAATACAGGGAAAAACTAAACACACAGGCCATCACTAGCTACACTGTATGTAGAATGCCCTCTTTGAATGCAAAATACAACACTTATTCAAATGTAAGATACAACTGACAAAGACCATGTCTGAAGCTGGTGTCTCCAGTAACACAGAAGTAACAAACCTGGAGTGTTGTGTAGTTTGAAAAAGCCCAGTTTTTGTTAGCATGCTTATTAAAGTATCATAATTAGGTGGAAATGTGTGGCGGGCACCCTGCACTTCATCATTCTCACCTGTCTTCACGTCTCCAGGCTGCTCTCTCTCCCTCCTCTTCACCAGCGCCTGGACAGCACACAGCACTGTGTTGATGTGAGTCTCCAGCTCAGCAGAGAACTCCGTACAGAAAGCCGTCTGGTGATCTGTTGGAGAAAGAAGCAGAGGAGCTGTAGAACCAAGGTAGGAAATGTGATTTGTAGCTGAAGTTACTTTGTTATCCTCCTCGATTTGTGTTTGTATCCGTCAGTGAGGTGTCTTTAGGGATGGGTACCGAGCCCCGGTATTAAACCGGCCCCGGGGCTGAATTATTAAAGACCGTGGTACCGTTAAGCTCCGACGTTATCGGTCTTTTTATCAGTACTGGAGACATTTAAAAAATACGTCATATGTATTATATTACATATCACTTGTTAGATGCTTTTATCCAAAGTGACTTACATACTCCTGTGGGGATTACTGTGGGCAATCCCCACAGGAGCAATTTGGGGTGAAGTGTCTCAGGGACACAACGACATGCTGACTCCAGTGGGGTTTGAACCTGTTACCCCCTGATCCGAACACCAACACACTGCGCCACACGCCTCCCGTATTATGCTACACAAACATAATATTGCAGTTTTAGTTTCGCCAACTCCGTTTTCTAACATGCAAAAAGACTGCAAAATGCATCTATGATTATTTTTAGTATTTTCGATCTTTCCAATCCAGACGAGAGATCTCTCCCCCCCCCGTCTGTGTGCGAGGGGGCGGGGCAGTTTAAGCAAACACACACACACACACACACACACACACACACACACACACACACACACACACACACACACACACACACACACACACACACACACGAGGTGCTTGTAGGTATATTATGTGTTACCGTTGGACAGAGGCAGGTGAGCTGTTCCTCTGGTTCCAGTCAAAAACATTGTCAGGCTGTCCTTTTTAAAGAACAAAAAACAAGAGTGTCATTGATTTTTCTCATTTCACCCTCTGCTAGAAAGTATTACTGGTTGCTACTAAATCATTTGGGGAAGCACTCTCCAGCCACCACAGACAAGTTATTCCAGACAGCACTGATAAGATCAGATTTATCGTTGCACAGTGTTGCGTTGGCTAAATGACTGAGTGATGAGATGCAGGGAATAAGCAGATCATCTGATAAGTCTAGCTGATTCATAGCTCACAAGCATGTCACAAAGATACTGCGCTGCTAGACCATGTAGGGCAGGGGTGGGGAACCTCCGGCCTCCGGGCCGTATGCGGCCCGCGAGAAAATTTGGTTCCCCACCCCTGCCCTACATGGTCTAGCAGCGCAGTATCTTTGTGACATGCTTGTGAGNGTGACGCATATTTTAGTTGACCTAATTAAAACCGTTTTGTTTTTTATTTATGTGTCACAGTATCACCTCAAAATACAAGATACGAAACATTTTCAACCATGCAACAAAATATAAATAGTCCTACAAATACTTTTATTTTATTTCCTTCTTATTTTTGTCTAAACTCAAGGGAGCCAGAGCAGAGGGCTTAAAGGGCCGCATGCGGCCCGTGGGCCGCGGGTTGCCGACCCCTGGGTTAGAGCAATGAGAATATTCGAATCGCGTCCGTTGTGAACGAAGCATAATGCAGTTCAGAAACCACTGTTCTGTCGCTTTTAAAGCAATTTAAGATTTTAACAGTATCAGGGCCATGGTGGCCGAAGGACGTACAATTATTTTTGGGGCAGAACGGCCAGACCGAGGGGCTACGACGGCCATGGCCGCCGTGAAAATCCTACCCTGGTTATGGAGCCTGGTATGTGTTGCTCTCAGATCACATGATGTGTATCCCTGTGTGTTGTCCTCAGCTGTCGGTGGTGATAGAGAGGATCCAGACCTTCACTCTGGCCAGCCCATTGGCCAAGTTCCTCAACGGTCTGGAGATCCTGCTCAGTAAAGCTCAGGTGAGCTCATGTGCCATGCATGATTCCATCGGGAGTTCATCCTAGTGTTGACACAGCTAATCAACTGAAATAAATCTGTGACCTTTTTAATAGATGCCATCAATAGCAGGTCCAAATGTGATAGTTGTACTTTCTGAAATGTAAATGTGTTGCACTGAAGTGAGCTCCGTGTTATGTGCTCTCCTCAGGACTGGGAGAATAACGCCAGCCGCTCAGTCTCTCTGCGTAAGGAACTGGAAGCAGTCACCCAGCTCATCATCCAGTGGCGCAAACTGGAGCTCAGGTGAGACACAGAGGGTTTCAATAAGCCTGCATCTGATTAGGGTGCGAGATACAAAAGGGACAATATTTAAACTGTAAGAAATATTTGTAGTCTCGGAGATGAAACAAGGTTTTGCAGGCCTAAAACATGCTCCAAAATTTGATTCAATGTTGCACAAAATTCACACGTGGAGAAAATGTATGTAAAATCTGGGTATTACGCATGGGCGATGTCAAATGGCTCAACGGCACCACCTTAAAGGCAGGCCCTGCTGTTGGTTGTGCTTGATGTTTGAATGTTGGTAGGTACATTAGCTTAGGATTTGGTCCGCACCTTCTTAAAATCTTGAGGATCAAAAGTTATTAAAATATTTTCCAATGAGTCGAAGTCATAGCTACCTACTTGTTAAATACATATTCATGCTTAGTGTGAGAGTAGGCAGCATCCCATTTTCAGCTAATCAATACATACTGTCAACTCGTTTAAGGTGCTTTTAGGTACTGCATTAGGAAGATTCAAACTGGACTGGAATCCTCAGCTAGCAGTGTTTTCCTCTACCAGAGTATAGGATCAGAACTAGCTGTTTCCTGTTCCTGTGTGCAAAATGTAAACGTGTCCTCTCCTGTGCCACGTGTAGTTTCTGGTCGAGCAGTCTGGACAACGCTTTGAAGCGGCACACTGAGAGATCCACCAAACACTGGTTCTCCATCTACCAGCTGGTGGAGAGGTACCTGGAGGAGCAGAAGCAGGATGCTGAGAAAGGTAACACATCATGGCTCCCATGACACAAATATTCAGATGACATTTATTTTTAAACCATCAACACATTTTGTAATCGGCCGAGTTAAAATGTCCTTTCTAATGTGCTTTCATGGGGGGACTTTAGGAAATATATCAACTAAAACTATGTTTTTTATGAGAAAAGTAGCTAAGTACTTCTTACCTGCTTAACCAAGTGTTAGGGTTATGTCTCTGTAACTGTGACAAATAGCAATGAAGAATGACATTCATCAACCAGTAGGTGGCTCACAACATAACTCATCAGTATGTATTTAAAGGCAAAACAAAATACTGAAAACCATACTTCCTCCCATTATCAGACAACTGTATAACCAGAAAAAAATGTTTCTCTTCCTGGCTCTAGGTGAGGAGGAGGTGGAGCGCCTGTCCCTGTCCTCTGTGTGCTCAACCCTCCAGGCCTTCATGGAGGGCTCCACCCTGGGACAGTTCCACACCCGCCTGGACACGCTGCTCAGCTTCCACTGCCACCTGCTGCTGCTGGACCCCCAGCAGCCTGGACAAGGTCAGCCAGCACTGTTCATTTAGTCTGACCTAACACAGGGCTCTATGTGGAACAGATCCACTCTGTAATGTGATCCTTCCTCTCCTCTGTACCCGTCCTGAACCAATAATTGTTATACTGTGAAAACACTGCAGCAAATCAACACTCTTCATTCTGTTTGACTCACTTAGATATACTGTAGGTGCTTAATGTGAAAAGATGTTCCAAAGAATCTAATATACATGATATTTTGATTGCAGTGGAGCGCAAAGACAAATGATGCTAATTGTGCAAATTCCCAACATATGCAACTTAGCCTCCGGCAGTTTCTATGTGCTGGGGACCCGCACTACACATTTCTAACATAAAACTTTGGGGTCCTACAACATTTCCTGATTCACAGTGCTGGCAAGTAGACAATAGAGAAAAGAACAACTCATTACAACATCATTAGTGGAGTGGTGTATTGATCCGTTGATCAGACGGGGTCAGCTGCTACAATGGGACTATACATACTGGTTCAGACACCACTGATTGGATTTGGACTGAATTCAATAGTGCGGAGGAAATTATCATCTCATCTCTTTTAGTTCATGTTTATCCTCAAATACATTTGACCTTTGTAAAGCAAAAGGGCAAAACCAGCTAATATCGAGTGTTGCTTCCTGCAATGATGGAGACCGAACTATTGATCCGGATGACCTGTTAACTTGTTTATTTTACAGAGCCATTGTCCAGTCTACTGTGGAACCTGCACAAATACTACAGCCAGTTCTCTGACGGCATCCAGACCAAGATCACTTCGCTCAGGCAGCCCATCGAGAAGGAGCTCAAGGTTTCTATGAGTCTCCTTTATCATTGCATACCAATACCTTGAAACCCAGTGCAAACATGTCAGAGTCCACAGCGCTGCACATTCTGAAGTTCTCTGTGATGTGTTCCTCTCAGGACTTTGTCAAGATCTCCAAATGGAACGATGTCAGTTTCTGGTCCATCAAGCAGTCAGTGGACAAGACGCATCGGTAACATATCACCCCAATAAGATTGTGCCGTGTATTCATTTTTGAGTGTTATTAATAAATAATGAAGTAATAAATGTATATATTTTTGTATTATTTTATTGTATTCTGTATAAACATACTAAATTGTTTTACTTTTTAAATGTATGTATTATTTGTTATTTCTTTAATTTGTATTATTTGATTCTCATTATTTAATACACTTTGTATTATTACAATTCTTTTTTTTATTTGAACTGTGTTCTTCCCCTGTCTTTTAAAATCCTTGAACACAAGATGGCCGCCCTCTCACCCCCTCTGTTCTGCCCATCTTCCCTTCTCCTCTCAGGACTCTCTTCAAGTTTGTGAAGAAGTTTGAGGCGGCTCTGAGTGGGCCGAGTGCCCCCTCTCTGGTGGAGGAGGGGAGCAGCGCCAGCCTGGACAGTGTGGATGCTAACCCAGAGGAGACCCCCCTCCATCGGGTCCACAAGGCTCTGAAGAACACCCTGCCTGGGAAGGGCCGAGATCTGCAGGTTGTTGTTATATTCACCATGATTATTATATCAGTTATTATCACGTCCTTACTTATGGTGATAAGTACTGTTCTGACTGCATCTTTGCAAATAAAAAATGAAAAAAAACTTCTGTACGTAGCACTCACAAAGGATTTGGCTTTAAGTGAAGCTAATGCAGTAGCACTTAATCTTATAGATAGGAAATACACCTACAGGATTCTTTCTTTTTAGTTTGTTTCTTCATAGTTGAATGAGATAACCTTGGCTGAATTAATAACCTTGGTTCGATTTTATATTTCAGCTTGAGGTCCCAGAAGAAGGTGTGGAGGCCTCCTCTCTGCAGGGCCGCCTGCCGGCTCTGACCCGGAAGATGAAGAAGCTGTGCGTCCAGCTGCAGAAGAAGAACCCGGCGCCGGAGCTGGCTGAAGACCTGGACTGCTTCACTGGTAACCATCCCACCTGGACACAGTGAATATCTGTCTTTTGACAGACAAGCTTCCCATAAAAGTTTTTCTGCACACAGTATAGAATCAGTTACACAAGGCTCTTGATAAAGTGGAGGGTTTAACCTCAGATTTCCACCTACCGCTGATGATAGACATTAAGGTTGTTGTAAGGAAAATATGTAGTTTGTTTTTGTGTCTTCACCTCACAGAGCTGGTGTATTGCTCCCCAAACCCCACAGGGTAAATGCAGTTTATTTGTATACTCCTCCTCAGGTGAGGTGATCAGCAACCTGCGGGACCTGCAGAACCTGACCGTGGACATGACGGCAGAGAAGGAGAAGCAGAAGTCTGAAGTGAAGCACATCCTACAGCAGAAGCAGAGAGCTCTGTCTGAACTGTTCAAGATGCTCGCAGGAATAGGTGCGTTCACTCTCATTAATCGGAAGCCATCAGGGACCCTGGTAGACCACCACACATAACAACAAAGACTATAACACCCCTGTTGTTCATTATTGCTATGTGGAATATACTGTACATATACCCCTCATCATAATTATTATTACTGGCTGCTGTCCCTTAGTAAGAGAATTCATCTTCTGTAATAAATCTGTAAATAACTGCAATATATCTACTATCACCTGGCTGCTATCACACTACCTTATACATGCTACACTTATTTTTCACTGTCACTGGTACTGGATGTGAAATCTTTTAATTGTATTTTGTGTAATTTCTATTTATATCTTGAATATTTTATGCATGCTTTTTAATTTAGATGAAGCTATGTTTGGCTCTTTACTTTGGCTGTACCAATGTACATTTCCCCTCTGGGATGGATAAAGGTATTCTGATTCTGATAAGTCTCTGAAGGAAAACAAGTTCTTCAAACCTCACTCTGAAATCTCTCGGTCCTATCCAGGTCTGTCGTACCGTAAAGGCCTGCTGTGGAACCGGACCGCCGACCCAGAGAGGAACCTGTGTATGCAGCCGCTGGAGATGACCACCGCTCTGTCTGCTGTCAGGAACCAGGAGCAGGCTGAGAGCATGTAATAACACCTTTCTTACTATGAGGCTTATCAAAAATACATCCCAGTTTATAGAGACACTGCTTTAGGTGGTTGATGTTAACTACTGAGCACATTTTGAATAGACACTGTTCACCAACTCCATGACTCCTCTCCAGTGTTGGGGTAGTTACTCAAAAAAAGTAATGCATCACACAATACCAAAAAAAAAAGAAGTAATGTACTAAATGACTCACTGCTGAAAGTAATGAGATACACTTCTAGCCACATTACTTTTTGATTACTCTGTAACGCCCCCCTTACCTGTATCTTGCTCAGTATGTTTCTGAAAGACGGCGATTCCACCGTGGAAACAAGCAGCATTTCCTCCATGATGTTCGCTGTGACTGCTTATCTCTGCTGAGACTCTGCTCATAGCAGAGATAAGATCATTTTGTGCTCAGTAACTGTAATGTAATTACTGCTGTTCTCAACAGTAACGCGTTACAGACGAATGTAATCTGATGACTGTAACGCGTTGTAGCGCAATATTGCTCCACTCTAGTTGTGCTGTTCAACCCCATTTATCATTATCCATGAATTAGATGAAATGGATCACCAGAATTTATCTTTTTTACCCTGTACAACTTAATTGATTTGTTTCCATTATCGTCATTAATGTTACTGATAAACTAGGCTTGGGTAAATCCTCTATAATGACCTCTCTGACTGCTCTCTGTTCTGTGTGCTGCAGGTTGTTCACAGAGCTGTTGGCAGCCTGGGATGGATGTCAGAAGTACTTCTACCGCTCCTGGGCGAGGAGGAGCGCCATGCTGACAGCTCTGCAAAACGCTGCCAAGGTCAATATAGCAATATAACATCACCACCTGTAGTATTAGTTACTCCTCTCTGTCTACAGGTTATAGTGATGAGCAGAGGTGGGAAAATTACTCAGATCTTGTACTTAAGTAGAAGCACCAGAGTGTAGGAATACTCTGTTACAAGTTTTGATTATAATTATTGATCACTAAAGTGTTCTCAAAGCTGGTAAAGGTGCAGCTAGTTTGAATGACTTTGTATACTGCAGGGTAGCTTGTGGATTTACTCCAGGTGGAACTAAAGTCTGATTCAACACTTGATTATATTTCACATCATTCATCCACATCTGTAAAGTAACTAAAGGTATTAAATACATGTAGTGGAGTAGAAGTACCATTTACTTTTGAATTGTAGTGGAGTAGAAGTACCATTTACTTTTGAATTGTAGTGGAGTAGAAGTACAAAGTAGCATAACATGGAAGTGCAGTACTTGAGTAAATGTACATAGTTACTTTATACAACGGGTGATGAGGGCAATGGATTACAGGCGAAGAGCCAGCGTTGACATCTGCATCTGGTTAGTGTGTGTGTGTTTGGCCCTGTGGTCTGAAGTGTCTTTGGCCCAATTCCAATCCACCCGCTACACCCTACCCTCCGTTTGTGCGTTCACCACATTAAGTGCTGTTCCAAACCAACGAGTGTGGAGTGGGAGTGGGCTATCAAGCCCTCAAACAGCGAGTCTGCATCGGTCCTGACTTCACCTGCTGCCCTACCTGACGGGACTCAACGCTGTGTGTGTCCGTCAGGAAACACGCTGTTTACAAACAGTTCCAGCAAACATCCACTGATAAACTGCTAACAAAATAAATGTTAACAACCTCATGATAACCTCATCTTTTTTAACTTAGGATCATACCTGTGTTTAGTCTAGAAAAAGGTAAATGTGTGCATTTTATTATAAAGTTGTGTATATTTACAAACTGTTGCAAAAACTAAGAAGCTTATAAACATCACATCAGGTTTAAAACTAAAGAAAGATGAAAGATGTTTGGAGTTTTATTTGAGTTATTAATTTACATTGTTTGTCAAAGAAGATGTTGATTTTGAACCGTTGTTACATACAGGTTACGGCATTTCCTGTTTCTGCAGAGAGGGGAGGCCGTCCCAAAACTTGCCGCTGTATTTACTTCCCTCCATCTGACAGGAGGGAGCCTCATGTGTCACTCCACGGAGTTCACTCCATCACGGAGGGGTAGGGCGTGGTTTTGGAATTGGGGGCTCTGTATGTGTGTTTGGGCCCGGTGTCTGAAGTGTGTGTGGTGTGTGTGTGTGTGTGTGTGTGTGTGGTTGTGTGTGTGTTGGTGTGTGTGTGTGTGTGTGTGTGTGTGTTGTGTGTGTGTGTGTGTGTGTTGGTGTGTGTGTGTGTGTGTTGTGTGTGTGTGTGTGTGTGTGTGTGTGTGTGTGTGTGTGTGTGTGTGTGTGTGTGTGTGTGTGTGTGTGCCCGCCCCGCCCGCAGTCTCCCTGTGGTCTGAAGTGTCTCTCTGTGTGGTGTGCAGGAGCTGGGTGTTGCGAACATCGACCGCTGCAGAGGCTTCTCCTCTCACCTCTTCAAGCTGCCTCCTCCAGCAGAGGCAGCGCCTGGCCGGGCTGACGGCGCGCAGTGGCTCCACATCAGGTCAGTCCGCTGCTCCGCTCTCACAGGGCCGTGTTATCACTTTCAACCAATTCAACAAATACTTTTATTTGGCATTCCTTCCTTTTCTTAACAAAGAAAAAAGAAAAAAATGTATGTGTTTGAAATCATTCAACATTTGGTTTCTTTTATACTCTGAAAATAAGGTTTGGTTTTGTGTAAATGAGGGTCTATTCACTAACATACATTTTAAAAAAAGTCAATCTGTGTAAATAAGTAGGATCAATATGCCTTACAGTAAAAGGTGAACATATATGGTACTTATACTAAATTCTTATAAATAGTCAAACTTTGGAGGACAAAAGTTGATAGGAAGTAAGGGTTAAATGTAGGGTAGATAAGAATGGAGAAACCAGCTCGAGGGCNCATGTACTCAAGTACTGTGCTTAAGTCAAAATGATGAAGTACGTGCACTTTACTTGAGTATTTCAATTATTTGCTACTATGTACTTCTACTCTACTACAATTTAGAGGTAAATGGTGTACTTTTACTCCACTACATGTATTTAATCCCTTTAGTTACTTTACAGATGTGGATGAATGATGTGAAATATAATCAAGTGTTAAATCAGACTTTAGTTCCACCTGGAGTAAATTCACAAGCTACCCTACAGTATACAAAGTCATTCAAACTAGCTGCACCTTTACCAGCTTTGAGAACACTTTAGTGATCAATCATTATAAAAACATATCATATATATTATTCTGAAATCTGCATTGCGAGTACTTTGACCTTTAGTACTTTAAGTATATTTAGATGCTAATACTTTTACTTGTAACAGGGTAACCCTACACTCTGGTACTTCTACTTTTACTCAAGTACAATATCTGAGGACTTCTCCCACCTTTGCTTTCAAGTAAGCTTTATACCTCAGAGGAACTGGTCAGCACTTGCTTGACAAACACAAATAATAAAATAGATCTTCCTATAAACACACTCTCAGTTGGCAGAGGTACCATGCTAATGATAGATCTCTTTTTGTTTAGTATGTTTCACAGAGCCAATGCTGTCCTCCAATGCTGAATGAAATGACTTTCCAGCCTTCTAGAGTACATTGAGTGTCCTCGATGTGCAGACGGTTACCTGAACCTCTCAGAGCTGAGGGTGACGATCTGTCCATCCGGCATGTTGTAATGCATCTCTCCGCTGGACGGCCCCCCCTGACTCAGCTCAGCTTCATAGTTGAGAGCCACACAGCAGCACTTCTCCTTCATCTCCCTCACTATCTCCATCTCCGCTGAGGTGCGCATGCTGACCCCTTGTTCCTGCAGCAGCTGAAGCACAGGCACACAGAACATCAGTCAGGGGATGGAAGAGGCAGTTACCTACAGTTTCAATCACACCACACAGGGACTGGAACACGCTGCTCTGTGATGTGGACAGCCACAAATCACTAGTCAATTTAAACTAAGTACCTTTTGGGTAAATGTGTATGCTACTGTTGGAGACATTCTGGCTTGTTCAATACCCAAGGAATGCACAATTGTATACCTTGGAAATATAAATGTGTGATTGATAATTATAGATATATGAGAGCAGTGAATGGATATATAAGAGAGGTCTATATAATGTAAACAATTACTTACCAACTTAAATGGAAGATTTATCACACAGTGGGAAATGTCTAAGGCAAACAAATGTATTCTTTTATTTATGTCTTTATACTTTAGCTCTCTACATTTTTTCTAAGTAAGAGGTTTTATGTTGAATATACAAACAAAAAAACCATTACAAAAATAAATAGTCAGCAGTTTGACTAACATTTATTTGTATACTTTGAGATAAGTGTCATGTAAGAGATGTTCCATTATGACTTTGTATATGGGTCACAAAAAGATCATTGGTTTATCTACTTGAACAGGTATCCCAGTGGGGTATAGCCGAGAACAGCGGTGAGCAGCAGAGTTATGATATCAATCAGAAGAGTATTTTGGATGATTTAAAAGCTACATAAATGATGGATTAAAAACTTCAAAAACATTTGAAGCGGCCCTTCTTATCTTAATGAATCAAATGAAATTACAAACTGGCATTCAGTCCTATTAACAGGGTTGGATGAATAACATAATCAAATATTGTTTTGATAAGCTTCCATGTTTTAAAGTAGGCAAAGGCTGTTTTTGACTACAGTTATTGTGCTATGTGTCCAAATTAGATGGTTGTTGTTATCATTGCAATATTTACTTAATGAAGCACGATCCAATAATCCAATGAACGTCCCCTGACGCTCGAAGCACCCTGTGCAATTTTGGCTAAATATTCACGTAAATAATTCCTCTTTGTACAACATTTTTCACAAAACCCCAAAGCCAATCGGAAGTGTTATCCATTCACATTACTGCCAATAAACTGTGAAACACAATCATCCTACTTTGGAAGGTGCAAATCTCATTTCGGCAAACATTTCAGGGCTTTGTGGACTTAATCCATGACAAACTGGAGTTGAGACCAGGAGGCAGAGTCGCAGTCTTACACGCTTCTCTGCGCTCTCTCCTAGGCAGTCATCCATAGGAATCCCGAACCCAATAAAATACCCAATATTAACGGTGTGTGTGTCTGCCCAAGGACAATTTAAGGTAAAACCTAATAGAGGTGTCATACATAATAACCTAATAAAAGTAAATGTAACAACTACTACAGTGCAACAAAACAGGAAGATTAAATGTGGTCTCTTAAACATAAGATCTCTAGCATCTAAAGCAATACTGGTAAATGATTTAATATCAGATTATAATATTGATATATGCTGTCTCACTGAAACTTGGTTGAGACATGAAGAATATGTCAGCATAAATGAGGCCACTCCACCCAGCCATATCAATACTCATATTGCCCGAGGCACGGGCCGAGGAGGTGGAGTTGCAGCAATCTTTGACTCAAGTTTACTTATCAATACTAAACAAAAATTAAATTATACCTCCTTTGAAAGCCTCATTTTCAGTCTTACGCATCCGACCTGGAAAACTTTGCAATGATTGATCTATTAAATAATATCCCGTGACATAAATCCTACGGCCCTCTGCTTTGTAAATTGGGCTGACCTGACTCTATCCCAGGTACCAGTTTGTGGTTTCCTCCATTACCTTTGATTGTGCGTAGGTACACTCATTTAACATGTGCGATATATGTGTTTGTGTAATCAACATAAGGAAATTGACCACCTATATCTCACGCGTCCCCCCACTCACGTGTCGACGTCACCTCTGCGACGCGTGTCACTAGCTGTGTAGACCCTGTGTTTGGGGTTTATGTTTTTTAGTAAGTCTAGGTCAGCAGTAATAGCGTGAGGCCTCCTAAGGGGCTAGTTAAATAAGTTCAAAGGAGTAGTTCCCCCCCAGAGGACAGGGGCCATGTTTATGTCGACGGACTCCTTCCGGGATGACACCATAAAAAAAACTGTAATAGGAAAAAGGCTTGGTGCAATAAAATAATAAAACCACTGCAGGCTAGGTAGACGATGCCAAGTGCGTGGTGTTCTGTTTACTATATAGAGTCTGGGGGGTTTATTGGTTTTAGACTGTGTCCACACCTCTACAGAAAAACTTGACAAGACCAGCAGTAGAAGGACGCTACAAGAAGTATTTGGTCAGTTCTTACTTACTTACTTACCCGGACGTGACGTTACTAAAAGGACTAGCGGACTAAACTCAGACACGTTCGGACCCGTCCCCGACTTGAATCCAGCTCAGTACTGTTGTTCATATGCTTTGTGTTTTTGTGTGGGTTTCTTTACCTTATTGTTGTCTTTCTACTGTCTATTTGTGTATGTGTCCCATGTGTCTGTCTCTATGTGGTCTGTCGTTTGTCTGCGTGAGTCCTGTAAAGTGTTGTCGTTCCTGGTCCTTTGTTGCGCCCTGCACCCGAGAATTCTTCCACGGAAACCTAACCTACGTATGTGCGTTATAACTACTTATATCGAGTATTGCCCACCAACCGAAAAGTGATCTTCCCAGTCTTCTTTAGACAACTCTCGTACTTTGTTGTTAGATCCTTACTTGTGAAATGAAAATGTCACCTGCAATAGGAATAGTTATTAATTGTTGTAGTGTATCGTACTAATTTTCTTCTGTCAAACCTCGATACATTGTATCCAAGTTGACCTGTTATTGTAATAATTAGCCTTTGGTGACTTTAAGGGATACCGACATCTGGGACCATTCTAAGTATAGACTGTTGGTATCTTCCAGTGGATTATACATTCCCCGAACCGTAATCACAGTAGTTGTACTTCCTCATAAAGACTTGAAAATACTAATAAATTAACAAAAAATAACAACACAGTAAGTAAATTAGATTGAGATTGTGGGTAACTTTTGTGATTCTGTGTATTATTGATGTAAGATTTGTTGTGTTTATGAATAAAGTACCGTTATTGCCCTCCACAGTCAACAAACGGTGAGAAATTTATTTCAATTTGAACTCACCGCACCGAAACTCTCCACAGGTGTCGAATATCGGTGATCGATCGTAAGACGGTGCAAAACGACGGCGATTCAATAGTCGATGAAAACTTAAACACATGTTTAATAGAAATGTCCGTTTTTTGCTGATGGGGACGGACATTACAAGGTTGTTATCTCCAAACGGGTGATGAGATTAAAGGGGAGGAAGCTGAGGAAAGGAGCTGAGGGATAGCGAGCTATTGAATCAGGGCGCGGGGTGCTCCTCTACTCGCTCGCCTCCTGACTCCTCCCCTTGGCTCCTCTTCTCCTCCCTTCGTCGTCCCCGCCAAATCTCTTTACTCTTGAGGAGAGGGAGACTCAGCCGCGGAGTAAAATTTCTCTGCAGTAAGTTGTCGTGACTACTGTCCTTCCGTGTCTAACGCTGTCTACACAAGTACTGCGTGAATATATGAAATGAACTAAGTAATTGCTCACGCCATATGTACTGCTGTTTTCGTCCGATCGTCTACCCGCCTGTATATGTGTCGTGTGTGTGTGTATATAAGAGCCAATATTTATCATATGTTATTGTCTTAGCTCTTGTCATAGCTCTCGGTGAGAGTATTATTGCATTGTATTAGTCTCTGAGGCCTGTATAGGGGGGGGGAGAGAGAGACCAGCGACTTTACCCTTAACTGTTGTACTGCCCGGGGGGTTTTCAACATAAGATCGTTCATCCGGATAATTTTCATTCGTGTAGTCCTGTGGTTTTGTGGTGGGACGCGCGCGGCGGCGAGACAGCGCGGGGCCTAATGCGAACATTGTTGTGTGTGTGGGATTGGCGACATCGGTGTGTGTGGATGTCGGATTCCGTATAGTCCGATTTCGGCAACACATGAAAATAATACACTTCGGTCGATTTACCAGAAACGTTTTATAACTCCGAGAAACAAACATTCTATAGATGATTGGTCGTTTATTTCTCTCATCCGGTACAATATAGGACTCAGTATATATAATAGTGTCGTGACGAGACCGAAACGACGTGCGCTGCGAGTGTCCGACAAGAGGTGACATTTGGAACGCAGCGCAAGTTCCCGCCGCAAATGGTTTTATATACGGTCCCCTTAAGTACGTCTCCGACAGTAACAACTCTATTCAGCTCGGCACGCGCATTGCGAAGGGTCCGGGCAAGGCCTTTTACGTAGGCACCTTTCGCGGGCACCTCCTGGGTAGTCACAGACGGAGCCAATCTCGAGGAGGTTCTACTCCGGAGATAGCTAGGGAGCTGACGAGCAGGAGGCTACACGTAAATCTCTTTACTCTACCATGAAGTTCGTACCGCGTGCGACTTTCGGTAAAGGCCAGTGTTGGCCTCCTGGGGTCTCCTTAGCTCCTTCAGCTCCTCCCCTTTTAATCGCTCATAACTATTTGGAGATTACAGAGATAACGGAGCGCGTGTATTCCGGACAAACACGGACTTGAGCTCTTTTAGTAAGGTATATAAGTCGTCCGTTTGTCGCGCGATACAGCCTGGTTATTGCTGTAATCTCCAAATAGTATGAGATTAAAAGGCGGAGGGAAGCTGAGGAGCTCGGGGAGGCCAGGAGGCCAACACTGGCGCCTTTACTAAGGTCGCGCGGTACAACTTTCCTGTAGAGTTAAACGCAGATTTACGTCTTTAGGCTCCTGGCTCGGTAGCTCCTACCTACTCCCGCGCGCGCGCGCGCGCGAGAGGACCTCCTCGGATTGGGCTCCTCTGGTGACTACCCAGGAGGTGCCGAGAACGGTGCCTACGTAAAGGCCCTTGCCACTTCGCAATGCGTGCGCCTGAATAGAGTTTCGGTTACTGTCGAGACGTACGTAGGGGACCTATATAAACATTGGCGAACTTTGCCGGCAAATGCGTCCAAATGTCACTCTCGTCCGACACGTCCAGGCACGTCTTTCGTCCCCGTCACACATATTATATATAACTGAGTCATATTCCGTCCCGGATGGAGAAATAACCGACATCAATCATCTATGAATGTTGTTTCTCAGTTATAAAACGTTTCTGGTAAATCACGAAGTGTATTTTGGTTATGTGTTGCCGACGATGGACTATACGAAATCCTCGACATCCACACACACCATGTCACACATCCACACACACAACATCCCGTTACGCATCTACCGCCCGCCTGTCTGGGCCCAGAGTCAACCAAACCACAGGATACGAATCGAAATTTCCGATCGACATTTATGTTGAAACACCGCAGTAGAAGTTAAGGGTAAAGTCGCTGCGTGTACCCCTCTCTCCCTATACAGGTCAGAGACTAATACAATGCAATAATGACTCTCACGAGAGGTATGAACAAACTAAGACATTAACATCTATAAATTTATATTATATACACACACACACCACACATATACAGGCCGTAGACATCGGACAAAACAGAGTAATAGCGCGTGACAATTACTTGGAGTTTCATTTATATATGTCACCAGGTACTGTGTAGACAGCGTAGACACCGAGGACAGTAGTTAACTATCTAGCAGAAAATTTTACTGGGCCGAGTCTCCTCTCCTCAAGAGTAAGGAGATTGGCGACGACCGAGGGGGAGGGAGAGAGGAGCAAGTGGATGAGTCCGAGGGCGGAGCGGTAGGAGGACACCCGGGCCCAGATTGCATAGCTCTATCCCTCAGCTCCTTTTTCCTCAGCTCCTCCCCTTTAATCTCATAACTCTTTGGGATAACAACCTTGTAAATGTTCACGTCCCATGCAGCAAAAACCGAACATTTATTAAAATTCTGTAAGTTTTAGATCATCTTTGAACGACCCGTAGTTTTGCACGTCTTACGATCGATCCCGACCCGATGATCGACAATCTGGACGAGGTTGGTGTCGGTGAGATTGTCAAATTGAACTAATCTTCCACCGTTTGTTGACTGTGGACAATAACGTACTTTGTATTATAAACAGCTAACAAATCCTTAAACATCAATAATACACATCAATACACAACGTTACCCCAATCTCAACTAAATTCTACTGAGCTGTGTTGGTTATTTTTGTTAATTTATTAGTATTTTCAAGTCTTTAGTAAGGAAGTACAACTACTCGTATTACGCGTTTCGGGCGGAATGATACCACTGGAAATGAACAGTCTATACTACAGAATGTCCGAATGCTCAGTATCCCTTAAGGTCAAAGCGTAATTATTACATAAAGTCATCGCGATTAGCAATGGTTATCAGGTTTGACAGGAAAAACATTAGTACGATCAACTACAACAAATTAATAATCGTATTCTATTGCAGTGACATTTCTACATTCCACATAGTTAAGGAGGTTTAGACAACAAAGTAGAGGAGTTGTCTAAGAAGACCAAGATTCACTTTCCGGGTTTGTGGGCAATTATCTCGATAGTAGTAGTTATAGTGACATACGTAGTTTAGGTTTCCGTGAAAATTCTCGCGTGCAGGCGGCAACAAAACGGACAGCGAACGACAACACTTGTACAGGATCAGAGCCAACGACAGCACATAGAGACAGACCATGGACAGCATACACAGGAATAGGACAGTAGAAAGACGCAAGCAAATAAGGGTAAGACACAAAAACAAAAGATATGGAACAAACAGTACTGAGCTGGATTCAACGTCCGGCGACGGGTCGAACGGTCTGGAGGTTTAGTTCCGCATCGTCGCTTTTGTACGGTCACGCGGTAAAAGTAAGTAAGAGTAAAACTGACTCAAATACTTCTTGTAGCGTCTTACTGCTGTCTTGTCAAGTTTTTCTGTAAGAGTGTGCACAGTCTAAAACCAAATAAATACCCCTCCAGCCTCTATATAGTATAACAAACCACCTACCGTCAACTTCGGTTCTCATCGTCATACCTAGCCTACGCAGTGGTTTGTTTTATTTATTTGTGATGTCACCAAGTTTTTCTATTACAGTGTCTTTTTCTTTTTTATGGTGGTTATCCGGAAGGAGTCCGTCACATAACACATCGGCCCTTCGTCCTCGGGGGGGGAACTACTCTTTTGAACTTATTTTACCTAGCCCCTTCAGGGAGGCTCACCTCAGTACTGCTGACCTAGAACTTTACTAAAAAACATAAACCCCAAACACAGGCGCGACAGCTGAGTCGACACGCGTCCGCAGAGGTGACGTCGACCACCGTAGAGTGGCGGGGGACCGTCCGTTGAGATATAGGTGGTCAATTTCCTTTATGTTGATTACAACAACACATATATAATCGACATCGTAAAATGTGTTACCACAAGAATCAAAGTAGGGCAGGACACAAAATTGTCTCCGCTGAATAGTTACACGAATCCGCTAGTGCCGTATTTTGTGACATGTTATACTATCATGATATGTTTGGTTACCCGGACCATATGTTGGATATCTTTACGTTTGGACCGCAAGTTTATCGACTCTGCACTTTAATACAGTCGATTACTCATGTGAGGTTTAGTCGATACTCTTTGTAAAGTATTATAGCTTGTGCTGGCTAAGCTCCACCTCAACGTCTTTATGATAACTGAGTTCATAAATGAAAATATATTGTTCTTACAATTAATACGTGGACTCCTCGAGAAAAAATTCAAATGCGTAGGCTGGACTAAAACATCGATTAGATATAGATTCTAAGAATTGTCT